CTTCTATTCTAAAAGCCTCAACTAACAAACTAAATTCCCTTCAAATTTAAAAGTTTTGAATGTTTAACTCCCTAATGATAGCCATGTTGATTGAAGATTTCAATAGGAGAGGTCAATATTTTAAATCATTATTTTTTAAGATAATCAACTAAATTACTCAAGTTAAATTAAATCACTTATGACTTAAAGCAAACCTCATCCACCATCCATAACAGTTTGTCGAGGATGATAAATTTCTAACTAACTTCAGCTCACAAAGAGCTAGTGTTATATTAAGTGTATCCTTATATTTACAATCAAAACAATTATATGTCAGTTAGGTCGTGGCTTAAGTCCTTTGTTCTTATGATTTTATTGTCAAATGATACTACAAAATAGCAGTTAAAACAAAATCCCTCTAACTGGGTCATTGTCGCCAAATGACACAATTATATTGCAGTTATGGTTATAATTTATATGTTCCTCATTAGCTTTCTATCATTTAAATTGTGAATCATCAGGATACAATTAATTGACACAAAGCCTTCTGTTAGCTAAAGTTGACTTAAATTTTATCCTCTTAAATAGGCATCCACCCTAGATCTACAATGATCCCTTAGAAGACGCAACCCATAATTATTGATAAGAATGACCTACTACCTTTTCTAACCATGTGGATCAGGGATCTTTAAGACTATTGTATGTTGAATATTCATAATGATTGGGTTTTGTCTTTCTTTACCCCGTCAACTGATTTAAGTTTCAAATGATAAATTTTGCAACTCAAAATCCTTAATCTGTTACTATTGTATGTTGAATTTTCTTAATAACTGGCATTAATCAAAAGTGCTCACGATAAAATACCATAGGTGAAGCGGGGCTGGGACGTGAGCCAGGCGCGGGACACAAGCGGTACGCGGAGGCGAGCGGGACGCGGGAGGCGAAGTCTCCGCACGAGCGGGGGGGGCCAAATGAATTTGCAACTCAAAATCCTTAATCTGTTACTATTGTATGTTGAATTTTCTTAATAACTAGCATTAATTAAAAGTGCTCTCCTATTTAAACGATAAAATACCATAGGTGATGCGGGGCTGGGACGTGAGCCAGGCGCGGGACACAAGCGGTACGCGGAGGCGAGCGGGACGCGGGAGGCGAAGACTCCGCACGAGCGGGAGCGTCCAATTGAAAGCCGATCCAGCAGGGTGAATCGAGGCCGAGCCCCTCTCCTCTTTTCTTTTTGCTTCTTTATTTGCTATTTTAGAGTTCAGGGTTGATTTTTGTTGTGTTTGCATTTCAGATTTATGGAGTCAATTTCCTGTTTTATGGCTGTCTGAGGAGGTGTGAGGAGCTGGTGGTGTTTCGATTATATCCTACTCTAAAGGTAGTGTTGTATCTTCCTTAATTCCCTTCTTCAATCCTTCCGTTACCTCCCCTCTACCCGCCGTCCATCCCCAACACATTCCCTCTACTGCCGCTCACTTTCAACCATCCATCCACCTACCAGCACCCTGTCCTCCCTTCCTCGCAGCTAGACCTTACTGTCCAGCCCTCTGGACACCAACCCGCATCCCGCCAGCTACTCCAGGCAATCTTCCTTGCTACCCGGGTCACCCTCACCAGCGCTAACACCTTCCCTTGCCTTTCCCACTACTTTCTTTGTCGCCATACTCCTCCAACCATCAAATCAGCCACCATCCCTCCTTCCCAATCCCCTTTTCTAAACTACCACGCCACCTCCAATGCTTCCTCGTTCCCACACTACTACGTCGATGCCAGAACCACCCCATGTCCTCTTGTCCGGCCTTAGCCGGAGCATACTGTTGTTGTATTATTTTGTTCCAATGGTGTCACATTGTACCCCTATTTTTTTTGACAACTCCGTTAGGGAATGTTTCTCTCTATCTTTTGCTAGTCATAATTTTAGCATAATAATAACCAAACTAAAATCTCAAGTCTTAATAGAATAGTCAATTATGTTATTCTATTATTTTGTCTCTACATTTTTGAAAGTGTGCGGTGTAATTTTACATTATTGATTAATTGATCCCGCTCACTCACTTATGCAGAATGAATTGATTAATTGACCCCCTCACTCATTACATTATTGATTAATTGATCATCCTCACTCATTTATGCAGGATAGATCTTCAGAACACTCATTTCACCATGAAACTCGAAAGTGGTGCCAAGATATGGTTGACCAACACTTTAATCAATATTGACAACACTAGGGCTACCATCCATTTTGATAGCCTCAAAATCCCCGCATAAGCTACGATAATTGTTGTCGTATTTGTTTGCAGAATGCATCCGTGAGGCCATCCTGTAATGCCTCATCCTGCAACTACACAACATGTCGTGCTCACCAGTCCGTGCAAGGCCCAAAACTTGCTTAAGCTAATGTTATTGAAGTTTCCAAAAGAGGACATTGGTATTTGAAAAATTGATTACTAGTGAAGCTCCAACCATGAGGAAAACTATCACCAGGCAAAAGTTTTCATTGGTGCTCGTTCATTGGTTTGCTACCATATTCGATGCACCTTTCATGTTGAGCAGACATGATGTTGAAGCTTCCTCATCTGGAAGAAAACTAACTCGAAAACATAAGAGAAAGAATGTTGAATTGCAAGATCAACATCTTTTACCTGAGCAACCCAATACTTCAATGACATTGATGCCAGAAGGAGTCTTTTTTACCCACAATCTATTCAAAAATTTGAAATGGGTAAAGCCGAACAGCTCCACTGGCAATATAAAGCAATCTTTCTTGAATCAACCATGCTAACCTCTGTTTGAAGAAACGAAGAAACTAGGAACCATGCTCGCCTGAGTACACAAGGTTCTAAAAATAACAAAGGAGATAGGTCTAATGAAAAAGAAGTACGAAAGATCCATTATAACTATGACAGATCAAAATCTAACTAAAATACTATCGGCAATATTTGTCATAAATTAGCTCAGGCATGTTTCACTCGACAACGGGGCGTGACACCCAGACAAAATGTCCAAGAATCCGTTGCTAAATGGTCCTGCGAAAAGGTGAACAAATATGGAGGCTGACCCCCTGAGAATGAAAATTGTATTGAGAAAATGAAAGGCGTGGTTGTAAAAATGGCTTGTAATAAAGAAACCCCAACTTGATGAACATGGGGTGTAAACAAGCCGAGCTGAACGAGCTCATATTCGGTTCGTGTTTGACTCATTAAAAAATGTCATTATTTGTATTCAACTCATTTATATATTGAGCTCAAAAATTTTGTTCGTGTTCGATTTATTTACTTAGCAAGTCGAATACGAGCTATTCATGAACAATGAGTCATTTTAGCTACCATAAAATGTTAATGGTAGAAGCAATATTTAAATCTTATTATTTATATTAAAATATTCATTTAAATATAAATTAATATATATTTATTTTATTTTTTACATAATAATTTTATTTGATTATAAATATTTGTATCGTTGTAGTCAATTAAATTATTTGAACATAATACTCATCAGTTACATGCATACATACATACATACATACATACACACATAACACACATAACACACACACACACACACACATACATATATCAATTAATTCTTTTTTTGTGGTGAGGGTTTGTCGTTTGCTCTTTCCTCGACTGCATTCTTCACTGCCCGTTAACACCTTGCCTCTAGCTTCAACCGGTGATGGCTTTGGAAAGAACTTATGTTGTTGCAACAAGAAAGCTGGTAGGAAGAATGAGAAGTCAACCATCTTTTTAATTGAATCCGAATGTAATCTGCTTGCTTCTTCTTGTCGTCTAAGTTTGGTTGGGAAATTCCCTTATGATTATCCCAAACTGGAGCTTATACATAAGGAATTCGAGCTTATGCACCTTATTAGCGAGTGAAAAATTGGACTTTTAAATGGGCGGCATCTCCTTATTCAACTTAACAATGAAGAGGAGTAGTTTGAATTGATAACAGAGCAATGAAAATTTTGAAATTGATTGTGGATTTTGACCCACGGACGGAACCACCAACCATACTGGTCTGGATTTACCTCCTTGACCTAAAATTTCATTATTTTAATCAAGAAGTGTTATACTCTATTGTTGTAGTCTATGGCAGGCCACTCAAAACGGAAGTTCCCATTTTTAATCTTTCACTTTCTTTAGAAGTCAGAGTGCTGGTTGAAAGGAACATCACTTTAAATGCTCCTGAGGAAATTTGGTTAGACTTACAACACTAAGCATATTGACATAGGGTAGTTATTGAGCCTTTCCCTATTTATTGCTTTAACTGTCGTATGTTCGACCACTCTAATTCTAAATGTCACCACCAACACCCCCATCTAAAAACAAAAAATGCAAAGTGCTCAGTCAGATTTAGAGACCCCTCTCCTCCTAGTCTTCTTCAAGTTAGTGACACTCTTGATCATCACAAGGATATCTCTGACCCCAATAACACTGTGATAACCATACCATCTAGTCCACTGGCAGACATGGTTGTCGGTTCAATTACTCTCACTGGAAATCTTTCAACTATTCATCCTCCACATAATGCTCAAGATGAAGGTCCTCTAATTTATCCTGTGGAACCTCAGTTGGTGGTGGCAGAGGAGACATTTGATACTTCACATACTGTAGAACCAATCATTGATGTAACGGTTGACAATCTCGTGGTGGGGTGTCCACCCATAGGTGTGCCTCAGCCTCAAATTCAACATCTACCCTAAGTGAGCTTTCTACTGCAACCGTACCACCTCATCAGATCAAATAAGTTGTTACTGTCATTTAGGCACAAGGGGATCATGTTGTGCTTAACAACCTGCACATACCCGATAATCATTAGACCAATACACTGATTAGATGAGACAGACTTCAGATGAGGATTGACGGGTTTACACATCCAGGAAGAAGAAGAAGAAGAATAATAAAGGCATACTAGAACTCACGAACTTAATGGATGATACCTTGTTTGTTTCGAGTAATGACAATAGGCTTAACCATTTGTTAGCAAGCTCCCTATCAAAAATCGGAGGTAAGAGATAAGACTACATTGGGTCGTACTCAAGCTCCCATTATCGAGTGTTTGGAGACTTTTGGCGTAGAGCTTTACGTGGCTAGTTTATAATTTTGGTTTTTTGGGTATACATGTACTTTTTTGGGACTTTGGTGTGTGTTGTATACCGGGTGCTTAGGGTTCCAATTTGGGCCCTCTTATCCAACCTTTATGTACTTTTCTTTGTAATATATTAGCCCCTAAGCTTTCTTAATATATATATATATATATTATTTCGAGTCAAAATAAGCTAAATACAAACAAAAAAATCTGTTTGTGTTTGACTTGTTTATATATCGATTACAAAAAGTTTGTTCTTGTTCGGCTCGTTTGTTTAGCGAATGAATAAAACATGAGTTGTATATGGACAACTAACTGTTTTGACAACCCCATGATGAACATTGTGGTGGTCGACATATTGAAGAATCCTCCAATAAGTTTCATTGTTAATCAACTCCTCCCAAGGAGAAAATCCATCTCAATAAAAACTCTATAATTGAGTATTTATTTATCTTGGAAATGTTAGTTCTTTATCAGAGGATGAGCGAGTAGAAGAATCAAACTATGAAGAAGAACATGTTCTTATTGATACAACCGCATTAGCCAGAGAACAAAAGAAAATGCAACCTTTGATTAAGCTTAAGGACAAAGAGATCTCTCTGCTCAACCCAAAATGAACGAGATAGTGGTGTGATACACTGAAAATATATGCATTTTTAGACCCATATTTTATACTCATTTTTTGTGATATTGCATTTTAAAGGAATATATTTTTCATGTTTTGTTGCAGGTTGTTGATTTTTAGGATTTGAAACAAAAAAAAAACAAAAATAATGAAATTTGGAGTCAAAATGAAGATTTTAAAAAATTGTTCAGTGCCGACGACACCAGACTGTGCGCCGACGCCGTTTGACAGAGAGCACGGATTTAATTAAATGGTCACTGGCGGTGACGACGC